GTGTGTGTGTGTGTGTGTGTGTGTGTGTGTGTGTGTGTGTGTGTGTGTGTGTGTGTGTGTTTGTGTTTGCTGATGCTGCAGATGTGTCAGAGTCACCTTCAGCTGAACACATGTTAGCTTGTTTTATAGTCTTGTCTCTCTATCACTTGGCTGCATAATGAGGAGCAGTGCATGTTGGGTCATGTAGTGTATCTTACCGAGGTGTTCTGACACTGAATGCAGGAGGAGTTGAAGCGGACGGCGGGGATGCGCTGGACTTTTCCCTGGATGTTAAACACACACTCGTAGTTTTTCTGACCGGACTGAGGTTGGGGAAGGTTACGAGCTCTCAGCGTGATTGGACGAACCATCCCGGCTGGAACCAGGATGTCAGAGGTAGGGATTATCTGAGGACAACCCTGCAGAGAGGGGGAAAGGGGGAGGTGGGTTAGTACACAATCATTTATCATTTATGACAGGCGAATGGAAATCAGCCCAGTGTATGATGATATATGTCATTATTAGAGAGAACGGTTTCTATTTTATTCACCGTAAACTATTGATCAGAGTCAGCATATGTCACTGTTTACAGGTACAATAACATGTTGCATAGCTCACTTTAAATACACCTGTTTTTAAAGTTTCCTCACCTACTTTTTCACAAATGCTCATTTCTTTTCCAAAATGCCCTCACTTTTCACAAAAGTACACTTTCTAAAAATGTCCCAATTTTTGAAAAGTGCAAAATGTGTTCAAAATATTAATATAAAAAAAACATTTTCCAAAACGTCCCTGTTCTCATTTTACACACATGTTAACAAAATATCACTTTCTCTCTCTCTCTTTCAGAAAAAGCTTTTTTTTTTTTTTTGCAAAAGTCTCTAATGTCCATGAATGTCCCCATAATCCAAAAATGTCCATATTTATTCTTGCAGTTGTCTTGAAATTTGGACTCCCAAACACAGAAATACATCATCTTCCACACACACACACACACACACACACACACACACACACACACACACACACACACACACAC